TACCTATCAAGTCCTCGTAAAAAGCACAAATAATATCATCACTAATAATAATTATAATTTTGCCTATCATTATTTCAATAAAATAGATTCTTTAAAAGCTTCATTTCTTTCTACACTTAAGCAGCCAGCGCCTACTTTCTCTCTACCCACAACCACTCATTCCCTTCTCCATCTACACACGCAATATTGGCAACTAATGCCCAGAGAGGACATGTGTTAGGAGTTCTTTCGGTGAGAAACAAGACAGGCTGGTGATAATCACTAAGGAGTATTAGTATGTATTCCCTTGTTCCAGAATCCTGCTGCAATGCCAACATACATTTTAAAGATATGTATGCACCAGACTACTGTATCCTCTAATCCTTCAGTACAGGAAGCTACTCCTATAACGTTTTCACATGCAGAGAGATAGTCTCTTGAGGGAGAACATTTTAATTTTTTTTCTATTTGTTTCTATTACTCAGTGAGTCCTCACAGACATTGCTCATAGATTTTTCAGGTTAAGGAAGACTGCTGACATCAAGTAAGTTAATTAATAAGCTGAACTAACAGTCTGTGAAAAGAGCCATTAAATACCAGTCTAACTGACCCGTAGCCCAAGAAAAACAAACCGTCCATCGGTGCCCAAGGAAGACAACCAGGCAGGAAGGCTTGCTATATTCTGTGGTTTACCATTCTCAGAGTTGTCCGAGAGATGTGTGTGGGCCACCTTGGAGTATGCTAAAACATAAGATGCATTTGAAAGTGGATGTCCTGGGGTCATTCAAAGGGAACTGACCAGAAATTCTACCTACAATTTTGCTCATAATGAGTTCAGTAATGATTATAACCATTCTTGGGATCAATAAAGCAAATAAAACAACGGAAAAATGCTTACTGAGCAAAGGTTTTGTCTACAAGATCCACATTGTTGATTTTTACGATACATTCATTTTCATGAAACAGTCCCTCCCGCTTGGACCTGCTGTTTTCTTCAATGCCTCGGATGAAGAGTCCTAGAATCCTAAATGCAAAATATAAGTTGAAATAAAATTACTGAATAATAATATGCTAATTATTTCTCTGCTTGCAACTATACAGAAATAAGTATTGATTTCTATTTATGAAAGAAATCATGCTTTGTATTCAGGCAACTCTTTGTTACTTAAATCCATACCCCCCAAAAAGAAAAGAAAACAACTCATGAAAAGAAAAAAAGCCCTTAAAGACAAATATTCATAAATACCAACCCAGAGAACATTAATCTGTGATTCTATTTCTCATGCCTGCAGTAAACTTAGAAAAGCCTAGTATAGCTTAGCAGAGTTGAAGACACCAAAGACTTGTGGTTTGGAGAAGGACATCATAGCTGACTGATGTTTAGTAGCGGGAGAGGTTTACAGATTCACAGAAATTTTTTGCAGTCTTACCTCTCCAAATAATTTGCATTTTAAGAAGTAAATGAACAATTAAACTCAGATCATATTACTTAGAAGGAAGTTC